AATTTTTTTATTGAAATAAGAGAATTAATAAAAAAACCCAATAAATAATTATATAAGACCAAATAAAATGTATCTAAATTTAAAAAGTTTGTCGAATATAAATGGATATATAAAAAATATAAGGTTGTTATGCTTTAACAACTTTAAAAATTAGAGATACTCTCAAAATTATAGTGCGTTTATTGTAATTTCTATAAAAAAGATCCTGTTATATTTCCTCTTCGAAAAGTAAAAAGAAAGGAAGAACAACCTTAAGAATTATGCCTATGTCTTAATAAATTTGGTTTGGCGATAAAATTGTCTATTTTATAAATATATATATTAATAAAAATAATATGTAAATATATTTGATAAAAAAGATTGAAAACAAATAGATAAAAGTTAACTTTCCCATTATTTTTTAAGAGAGCTCTATCTCATCATTATTTGGCTTTCTGATGTTTTCGATATTCATCATTATTGGCAAATTGTTTCATTCATATTTATAAACATTTGAACTGTTATATACTGAAAAATAAAAAAACCCATTCATTTTTTTAAAATTTGATCTTACAACATGATAAAACAATTTTATTTTTTATAGAAATTTGGATTTAATTTTGTAATTTATAATAACTTAATGTATTAGTATAAAGCATATAATATAATAATTTTTTATATAATATTAATGAGGATATATTGATTATATTATATTATATATATAAATATATATATCTATATACCTATATATTTTAGATTACAGAATATCGAAAATTGGTAATCTTTTATATTTACTTTATTTTTTATATTTGTTATTATTCATTTCTTTTTTACCATGTTTAAATATTACAATTATAAAATACAGTGTAACCTCTAAATAACCTTAATGTCAGACTTATAGTTTACTTTGTAAATGTTTTTTTACGATATAATTAATCCATTTTTTTCGTTTTTGTAAATAATTGGTTAATTTTTATTATAATTTATAAATTTAAATAATTAATGTGATATAAATTAATCAAAATTATTTAATAATATAATTTATAAATGTAAAATTTCTTAAATTTGGCAAGAAAATTAGGGGTCAGAATTTAGAAATATTTTATAAAAATACATAGCTTTTTTAACTTATTGCAAAATGGATAATTAAAATTATAACTGTAAGTATTTGAATATATAAAATATATTAATTGAAATTATATTCAAATCAATGATTCGAACAATATTGATGATTATATTAGTAATTATCTTTAAAAAATTATTATTTAGATTACAAGTGACAGCCTTAAAAAGTGTTTTCATAACTAACTTCTAAAAAATATCTATTTAAGTTACAAGTTACATCCAGGAAACTATTACATTTTGCAAAAGTTACGTTTGATAACTAACTAGTTATCTAAAATAATTTTGCTATACAAGTATTATTCAAAGGAATTTAAAAACAGAAACTACAATATAATGTTTATTAAATACTATCTTGTAAATTAAGGATAAATATAGTTACACATATTTTAAAAGGTATTAATCATAAGATATTATATTATAATAAGAAAATAAATATATCATAATAATAATATAAATAAATATATCATAATAATAATATAAATAAATATAACATAATAATAATATAAATAAATATATCATAATAATAATATAAATAAATATATCATAATAATAATATAAATAAATATATCATAATAATAATATAAATAAATATATCATAATAATAATATAAATAAATATATCATAATAATAATATAAATAAATATATCATAATAATAATATAAATAAATATATCATAATAATAATATAAATAAATATATCATAATAATAATATAAATAAATATATCATAATAATAATATAAATAAATATATCATAATAATAATATAAATAAATATATCATAATAATAATATAAATAATATATAATAGGTTTAAAAAATATATCATAATATATAATTGGATTAAAAAAATATATCAGACAATTTAATTATCTGAATGAATAAATAATATTCACTCACATCGCGAGTTAATTTAAAGATTTTTTAAAAAAATCATGAATTAAATTAATTTAATTTTAAAATTATTACTAAAATTATTTATTTATAAATAAACTCCCTTAAATATGTTTTCATCATTGTTTAAATTAATGAGATATAATTAAAAAAATAGCATACTAACCCTAACCCTTATATTAATACAGGATTGTGAGCCCTTATTCTAAAAAGGGGTGTTCATTAAAAAAATATATCGATTGGTTCGAGTTCAAGGGTTCGGAGTATTAGAGAAAAATTAGGAGTTATTTTGAGTTCAAGGGTTATGAGTATTAGAAAAAAAATAAGAAATTATTATAAAATTTATTTAAAAATAATATAAACATTATATTTGGCATATTATTAATTTAATTTGAATTCCCACAATATTTGAATGTTGGTGATAAAATTATTGTAGGTTGGTTTTTTATGAATAAGTGCATTTAAAAATTATGGCCATGCATTACAAAAATCTTTGATCCACCAGCAAGCCACTTACTTTTTTTAAGTAAAAGATAATGTTGTTTAAGACCTAGCATCTTTAAAATTGAATGAATAATCCATAGATATCATAATGAAAATATGGATCTTAGATGTCTAAAGCCTCTTTCAAGACATTGAATATTTGAAATTAATAAAATTTTACTTAATTGATCTCTTTTGTTCTTTTATCCTACCTTTAATAAAATTGTTAAACAATAAAAATTTCCTATTACATTATTAATTTCTAAATATGAAAAAAAACTGATTCGACGTGGTTCAAATTCAACATGTATACAGCATCCAAACTGTTAGATTTAGACAATTATTTTCTAGTAGTTTTAAATTATTCTAATTTTATAAAAAAAAATACTTAAATGTTTATGACAAAAATTGTTCGAAATTTTAATTATGGTAGAATATATTCTAGACAGATGAATTACATTTTCCAGTCATATTATATTTTTTAAATTTAACATTATTTCATCAGTAAATGATGCAAAAGATTGGAGTTTGGAATCTCCAAAGATTCAATATCCACATCCAAATAGGACATATATATTATTATTAAAATTTTAAAAAATAAGGGTGGTAAAAAGGTTAAAGATTTATACATAAAATATGATAAAATTCTACGAAAAAAAATAAAGAAAAAAATGTTTTTAATAATGAAAATATATAGATAAAGAACATTTCTGGAACCTTAAACTCTTAATTAAAAAAGGAGGTGGTTTTGGGGTTTGGATTTAATGAAATCTGTAGGCTTCAGTATTTTCTAAAATAAAAATTATTTAATAATCTTATGTAGTAATCTTTTACTAGATTCTAGTCATGCCAAAAAATTTTAAATTAAAATAATTAAAAACATTTTATAGTTAAATAAAAATAAAGTTATTCAAAATTTTAAAACCCCTAATTAAAAATTCTCTTTTCAAAATTGGTGTTTAATTTTTTTTGGTTTATTCTCGAATAAATAAACTTTTATAGATAAATATTTTATTGAACGCTAATGTAAATGGAACATTACATTTATAATAGTAATTTTAAATTTAATAAATAGTAATTTTTAATTTGGGCATCATCTATATATAAATTTTTTATCATGCATTAAATTCAAATATAAAATATTAACCTGATATGTTATTTGTAATAACAGAAATTCTCACAAAATTTAATTTTCTAAAGAAATATTTAGCTAAAATTTAATGAGAATAGAGGTAAAATATTTTTTTTTTATAAAAACTCTATTCATGCCTAACTTTCACGTAGCAAGAATTAGTTATCACAAAGAAACTGCATCTCTTGTACATTTCAATTTCTCGGTACCTTTCGATCACATGGTCCAAACCTTCAGGATGAAGTTATTAGCAATTACAACACACAACGAAACAAGGGATTTAGAAGAATCTAAAGAAGTAAGTTGAATAAAATAAATGACATAAAAGTCCTATTATAAGGATAACTTAGAAATATTTTTAGCAATTGAATTAACTTATAAATTGTTACTTTGCTTTCTCGTCATAAAAATTCACATTTATATGAAGATATTGAACTATTATTATTTTGATATGGGAAGTGAATATGTGATACTTTGTTCATATTGACAAAAGTATTATACCCCATGATAAATATCTAATTGATAAATTAGTTTCGATTTCAATTTTTTGAATAGAAAAGGTTTTATAAGACTAGTTAATTTAAAAACTAAAAATTTCAATTAAGGAGATCTGCAATGAAAGGGTAATCATATACTACAATTCAATTATTTTTTTAGATTAATATTATTAATTCTTATATAGTGCTTAAATCTCTATCTGATAATAAGATTCTATTTTTTATTAAAATTGCTAATTTAGGTGAAACATCATTTCCAATATTTTTTTTAAAAATTTTCTCTCAAACCTTTAATTTAAGATTTAATTCTACAGAAAAACTGCATTTTAATAGATTGTCATTCAATATTTTAGTTATAAATATTTAAATATTATTTTATTGAATTTTTTTTATTTTTACAAGTTAATAATAAAAATAATAAAATCCTATTATAAATAATAAGACCTTGAAGTAAAAATCTCATTTAGAGGGAGAAGCGATAAATAATCAAATTTTTTAGCATTAACGGAAAATTAATGGCAAATGATTAAAATTAAGAATAAATGAACAAATGCAATAACAAATAATTAATGAGAAATGTAAAAAATGATAAAATTTAATAATAAATGAATTAAGAATAAATGGGAAAATGTAATAGTTATGAGTATAAAAAATTGTGAAGTAAGAAAAATAAAATACAATAGAATTTTGATTTTGCTCAGATAGGCATAAAGGTCAAAGGATTATAAAAATAAAGTTTAGATGAGACAATTAATCGTATATCCTAGCAAAAAAAATAGCCTTAAAACCTTTGTTCCTAATGACTTTTTATTAATAATTTTCAAAGAATAAACCTTTTTATGAATTATTTTTTTCAAAAGCTACATTTAAATTTTATAAATGCGAATTTATTTATTCGAACTCAAAAATCTTAAAAATGTCAAGTGGACAATTCAAATTCTGAACTATGTTAAAAAGTACAAGTATTATATTGTTGCGACTGAAATGCAAAGTTTATATTGATTTATAGATTGGATTGCTTTATAACTATTTTTCTAACTTTTTTATATTTAGAGAATTATTATCAAATTTGCTCAATCGGTTAAATTTACTCACTTGCGATTTTTGCTCATTTTAATTAAATATTTATCCATTTGCAATTATCTGCCATTAGAAATTAAATTTACTCATTTGCAATTAAATTTTCTCTTATTTCTTGCTAAAACTGGTGAAATTAAATTATAACAAATATAGATTCAGATATAAAACAGCAGTTCATGACTCAAATGATATCGCATTGGTTTGAATCTTTAATATCTGTTTAACTCTTAAACATACAAAATGAATAAATATTTATTATTTATAACTATAACATTTGTTCGCGCTGGAGTATTAAATTTCACTTATTCTAAATCTCTTTAAAAATCGATTTGGTTTGTATTATAAAAAATGCTTGAAAATCATTTTAAATTAATAATAACTTAAAATAAAAATAATGAAATCTTTTATTAAATAATCATATCTCCCTCTATTTTCACTATTTAACAAAATTAAAAATAAAATATATAAACTAATAAAAAATTATAAATAAAAAAATCAAAATTGAAAAAAAGATTAAAAGAATGGAGTAATAACATAAAAATATAGAATTGAAGAAAGGGAAAATAAGAAATTATTTTAAACATGAAAGAATAATCAAAAATGATAAGAAAAAAAAATTAAGAAAAAATGAGAATTATAAATAAAAAATGACTTAGAGAGATCTCAAAAAGTTAGAAATAAAATAAGAAAGAAAATTTAAAATAACCAATAATTTAAGAAAAGTGATATTAAAAAAACAACAATTTTATATAAAGAAACACGATTTTCTTCATTTAATACAAATTTTTATTTTTTGATAGAACCTATCCCGCTATTTTTCCTTATTGATTGAAACTTTCCTTTTTTGCTCAATCTTTTTTCTTACAAGATTGGAAATTTTCCTTATAGGGAAACCTGTTAGGTTTTGCCCCATAACTTAGTCGGAATATTTTATAACAAAAGAAAAATTGCCTGCAACAGGATCTATTAATTATTTTATATATTATATTTTTGGTTATAAACTAAATTATTTTTATTTTTCTCTTTATTATAAAGGTCACGAATTTACCATTAAAATATAATTTCGAGTCAAACGGTATTTACAAGCTGAGCTTCCAGTTTAAGATATGCGACGTGTGGTTAGACACTATAGAAACTGTTAAACACGTCAAAATAGGTAATACAATTTTTTCACATATTAAAAATAGTTCCAATTTATTTTGATTAGGTCCTATTTTAATCATTATTTCTTCTTTTCAAGCTAAAAGAAAAGGAATTTAATATGGGATGGGTAGCTTCTTAGTATCGTAAGGTTTATAGAATAAATGGAAGAAAATTATGTTTTCTTTTATAGAAAACATATATTAAATTTAAAAAAAACTAAGATAAAATATCATCTATAATTTGATAAACTGTCTATTTATTTTGTGGGAAAAAATTAAATAATTCCTTTTTGATTTTCTCATATCGATTTTCACAAAATAATTAATTAATAATTGTCTATTAAATTATATGTTTTTCAATTAAAAAAAAAAATTTATATAGATAATAGACCTCTCAATAAATACTATGGTAAATTCTTCTTCTTTTTTCAAAATTTATTTTCAAAAAATTTTAAACCATGAACTTTGAATTATTTTTAAATTACAAAATAAAGAAAGAAGGATAGAAAAAAGAAAGAAAGAAAGAAAGAAAGAAAGAAAGAAAGAAGAAGGTTAGTCATAAACCATTTGGTCAAATTTCCTAAACCATTGGATTTATTAATTTAATTTAGTGATAAAAAATGCTAATTTTATTTCTTAAACATGATAATTATAGGATAAATTTAGTAATTAATTTTTAAAATTATAATTTCAAACATTAAAAAATAATTTCTATTTAATAAACTATTAGGAGGTATGAAATACTTAAATTTTAATATAAGTAATTCATAAAATAACCAAAAATTTTTAAAAATTGATTTATATTTAAATAATATCTACATATTTTTTTGGAAATTGCTATTTTTAAAAAATATTCACAAATCAAGAAGTTTAACAATGATAAGCAAGTCCGGCTATAACTAGATTTGTCCATCATATTAAAACAATATTAAACACCATTTGGATTATTAAACGATAAAATTTATTATCTTATATAAGTAATTAATTATTTTAAAATATTTTTGTATATAGATGCATTTTAGTAAAATCGATATTTTTATATAATGGATATCCTAATGTCTTTAAATAAAAAGTAGTTTTAAATAGTTTGACATACCCAAGGATTTAACTAGCCCCAGTCTCCCCTACTGGTACAGAGATTATTTATAATATTTAAATGAGTTGACAAAATCAATTCATTGTTTCCTAAAACTTTAGATAACAACTTAACCTATCACGAAGAAACTTTAAATAAATTGAGCGATGATTAAACGTAAAAACGTAATTTCAAATTTTTAATATATCCATATATCAAATGAAGACTAATAAATAATATTGTGACATTTTTTTAATCATTTTTCTAGGTTTTTGGGTATGGGTAATAGGAGTATAGATGTGTTAGATATCTTTTATAAAATAATATTTTGAGATATGTAATAAATGACAAACAATAAAAGATTGACGTTGTGGTTGAATGCATTTGGATCAATGAAGACATAGGCGTAGCCAAGGGAAGGGGGCAAGGGGAAATTCCTCCGTTCCTTCAGAAATTTATCACTTTTTGTGAATATCATTTTAAGCTAATAAAAAATATCTCCCTTAGCCCCCCCCCCTTCCTGACCCCCAATGGTGTATGTACATATCTTAAACAATAATTTGAAAGAAAGAATGTAAAATTTGATATTTTTTTATAAAACTATTCATCATAATTTATACATTATGGAAAAAAGCATTTATATATAAAAAAAGTGAACCAAAAATGTTTTTCAAGAAATGGAATATAAGCCAAAGATAAGTCTTATGACAAAAGTGAAATGTATTATAATTATTAATAATAGATCCATAAAATTACTAAATAATATAATATATCAAATATAATTTTTTATAAAGTGAGAATTTATTTATCCTAATAAAAGTAAAATATAATTATAAAACCATTGATAAAATTAAATAAAAAAATTAAAGCACAATACAAACAGTGGAATATTATATGTCGTAGATTTACAGTATATCTAATTTTATCAATTATCATATGACAATCAAATAATTTTTATAACATAGCGAATTATATATTTTGCAGAAAACTATAAAATATCGATAAAGACATCAGAATATATCTTTTAAAGACATTGTGGGATGAATAATATGAAGATTAATTTTTAATATTAATAATTATTTAAATAGATGACGTTAAATAATTGAATGCAATTGTTGCTATATTTATTATCAAGAGCTTTGATTAGTAAATTTGTTAAAATATTAACCGTAATATATTCTCTAATTGTCAAATATGTTCATAAAAATGGAATTTACCTACTATTTTGTAACCAATTCTATATAATAGAGGAATATAAACTATAGGTCTACTAACTTTTTATAAATAAATTTCTTATACTTGTTTGGAATAAATTATCACCATGCTTTTATATTAATGTAAATACAAGTAATTTATTATATTTTATATAAATAAATAAAAATATATTTCATATTTGTTCCAGGCTTATTTTTTTTATTAAAATTAACCTCCTATCTTGTAAAAATATTAACTATATATAGACTAAGGTAACCCGGCCGAAGACCCGCAAAAAGTGGGAAAATGAAGTCTGGGGGTGATGCCCCAGAAATTTATTAATTCCCCCCTTAGGAAAATCCTGGCTACGCCTTTGAATGAAGGTGAAGGGCTATACCAAGAGCTAAACCTTGACCAGATTAAGGATATTCCATCAGGGAGTTTTTCATCGGTTATAACTAAACCTGTTTGTTAAAGTCTCGATGGAATGCCTGCAGATTTAGATTTAAACAAAATGAAATCTCGACAAAAGCGGCAATGTCTACCCTTACTATCAACGCTAGTTTTACAGTGTTTACATACATACGGTAAAACAATTTCATAATTGAGTGGTGTCAGCGGAAAGCAGCAAATCGAGATTTTTGGAGGGCATAGTTTCCAGAAACTGAAAAACTGTATGCTAGCCATCATAAAGGCTCGATTTTAGATTACACATCAAGCTTGCATTGAGTGGAAAATCCCAATCTTTCTATGAACACGAGGAAGATCGTAGAGTGTTTAAACAGCAAAATTGTCCCACATGGCATGGACCACGGTTAGCAAGGTCAGAAAATGGAGAAAAGCTGGCGAATGTATGGATCAGATGAGAGACTGTGCTTGCATGGAAATGAGGCTTGTAACCACAAATTATAAATAAAGCGTAGATTAAGGATCTCTTCAGCAAGAGCTTTGTTTCAAATAATTTTTAAAGTATCAAGAAATTTAAAATTGAGCATCGAAGAGCGTAAAGAATTTTAGAAATGTAATAATTGAGGAGAAAAAAGCTTGATCATGAGTAAAATGCTTGGAGATGTTTTTAAAATAGAGTAAGCTAGATGATGCGTTAGTGAAGTGATGTATGGATTCTAAACCACTAATTGGGGAGCCGAGATGAGTGAGGAACTAAAAGTTCGGTTGTATGGAAGTTATGGGGATGGAACAAGATATCTTTTACAGATTCTAAAAATATAAAGATATATAATTATTTATTAATTAAACATGCTTATTTTTGCTTATCACGATTTCTCAAAATATCTTCAAACTCTAAACGATAGAAAAATTCTTAATTATGATAATTACCTCTTTTTGAATTGCATTAAAAAAAACTAAGTTATCCTCCGGTTTACTACTCGGCTATTGAAAAGGCAAAAGTTCTTAAAACAAATATACTGGCCTCACAAACACATATTTATACCATAGCTGCTAACACTTTAGTCATGATCGGAAATGAGGGCCTTAATTTTATTAAAATAGGCAATAGAAAAAACAGATTACAAACGACTCCAATGAAGAATAACTCTACTCTAGAGTGATATCTAATACTTTTTTTAAAGTTCTTTTAAAGTACTTTTTAATGTTTTTTGAATATATTTTTATGATTTTTACATATTCTTATATGTTTTTTAAATATATATTTCATTTTTGATATCGTTTATACTGTTTTTTATATCTAAATTAAAACCGTTTTTAAAAATCTATTCACAATTAAAAAATAGTCTAATGTGTTTATATCTGAGCAATTAACACTATTTAAATCTGAGTATTCCATTATTTCGCAACAATTGCTATTTTTTCTTAGAAATTATTTTTTTTTACCTGATCATTAAAAATTCAGAGAATTTATTATTTTTTTCTCAGCGTTCATTATTTATTTTGAGCATATATGAGTACATTATTCATATCAAATTCATAACCTCAAAATTTACATTTTAATTCTATGGCAACACTTGAAATGATTTGTATAATTAATAAAATATTAAAATAGTTGTGTTTAAATAGGGAATGATAAGCGTGAGTTAAAAATAGATATGATATAGATATTTTTTACTTCTTGTACAATTTATTTCTGGATATTTTTAATTTTCAAAATAATTTTAATAATAATATTTTAATTTATTATCAACATGATGATAAGCCTTAATTCGTAATATTTTTAAATTAAATAAACAAACAATTTAAAAAATAACAAAGTTTATACATAATTTAATTATTATTAATAGATTCCAATTCTATAATATTCGCCAATATATCGACTTACAGAACTAAACCAAGCTTACTCATAATGGTCTTTCCAAAAAGTTTAAAAGGTATGATTTTAAATGTAATGGTTTATTTCAATAAAAAAATTAATTATTTTATGGGTAAAATATTAAATAATTAATTAATGTGCCACATGGCACCACATGGCATGTCAAATTTACCAGATTAAGTAATAGATGAGAATTTACTTGTCATTTGATTTATTTTATTAAATTTTCCTATATTGATATATCTTAAAACTTATTATAAATAATAAAATAAATACAATAATATATATTTATTAATAGCTATATTTTTTTATTCCATACCATGATAAATTTTTTGTTTACAAAACTTTATTTAAATGTCCGAAATCTTTATATTTATTAGATTATGATTTTAGCTGAATAGGAGACCCAAATGTCTAAATCTCTTTCATTTTTAGCGCTAATTGTTTCAGATTTTGTAAAAAGATATATTTCTTATAATTGTACCTTATGTTTATTTAGTAACGGGATCCCCATATTTAAATATCGATCAAAAACAAATGAGACATTTCGCAATTACTAGACAATCTATTAAATTTGGTAGATGTTATTACTCATTCAGAAAATTTTTTATGATCTCAAATCATTATAAGAGCTAAACAGAAATGGTTTAAATGGCTAATAAAAGCGCATTAAATTGTATAGAAAAGAATTATTAAAATTTTATAAAAATATATGAAAAATTTAAAATTAGATTGAAATTGCGTAATGTGCATACAAAGTTATAACTATAGTAAAAAAAACGCATACACTAGATAAAGCATATCAAATGTTCCTAATCGTATTCAAGTTGTGCTAAGAATGGTCCATTTTATATGGGCACATATTGTGAAGATTAATTTTAAAAAAAATTTACATTTATAAATAATAAGTGTTCATCTTAACTTTAAAGATTAGTGTTTTGTATGTTAAATTTTATATTTATCTTCCTACCCCAAGAGTCTCAGAAAATAAAAAAAGTACTCTTTTAAATTATACCTTTATAGCGCCCATAGTATGCTTGGGGTTTTTTTTTATTTTATAGTTTATTCATGTAAAAGATAGCATTAGGGTCTGAAGTCATTTAAAGAGTATAAGACTAAATTTCTTTTGCTATTTAATATTTATTCATTAAGGTAATATGATATAGTAAATTAATTTAAAAAAATATATGGACTTTATTTTAAAATAAATAGAATATATTTTTGTATACTTTATGTTTAGAATTAAGGAAAAACAAATTTTTGAAATACATAAAATTCCAACATACAATCTATTTACCAAAATAAGTCGTCTATCTATGTTATTAATAAAAAATTTTATTTTAATTAGAATCTCTCAGAAATGGAAAAATGTCTAAACGGAATTGCACTTTGACCTTAGTTGTGTTAGCCTATGATCAAAGATCTAACCAAACTGAAAGTTAGATAACATATTTTACCAAAAAGTGTTTTTATATATTTTTGTGAATTTAGCTTTCACTATCTGAAATAAAATCGTTTTAAAGCAGAGTAGGTATGGTTTAAAGTTTAAATTCTGAAAAAATATTGCTCAAATTAGTAAGATGAGGTGTTTATACAAATTGAATTAATCGAAATATTATTCTTACAATATGATTTCCTATTAAAATAATTATTTTTTAAAATTGTTTAATTTTGATATTTTTAAAATCATTTAGAACGAAATATAACTTATATTATCTCATATAAAACGCCTCAAATGAATAGACCTAACGGTAAATACATAATCCACCAGAAAACTAGATCTAAAAGTAATATTTAATATAACAACATCAGAATTTGCTTTTTCATATTAGAGTATAATAATATTTTTACAATTATTCAAATTAGTTTTATTTTCGAATTTATCCCAATAATAATTTTTATTCTATAATTCATATATAGCTATTTTGAGATAATGATATATGACGTTAGTCTAACTGCTAAATAACGATTAATATTTATCTTTAATATATAATAACGGAATCACGTCGTCGTGCACTAACTACTAGATATCATCTCCCCACGAAACCACTAGTTAACCCAGAAGAATAATGATCAGTGCTGGATTCAAATCCAGAACAATCAAATTGTAATATATAGACTGAGCCGACTAGGCCACAGACTCTTTTCGAATGCATCAAAATTTTTTGAATATAAGGATAAAATTATAAAGCCATCTAATATTTTAATGAAACACACAAAAAAAATTAAGAACTATCAACGTCATACACCATTACCCCCATTTTCATAATGACACATTGACTTTTCAAAGACAGAGTGATTTTTTCAAATTGTGTCCATTCGGATTTAAATCTATTCAATATTTAAAAAAAAATATCATGAAATTGCAAAAGGCCAATATGTGTTTATAAATAAAGAAACTATACGATTAAAATAAGATATATAATATAATATAATATGTAATAGGGCCAAGGGACTTTCCTAAAGCGAATTTCGGTAAAATTTGATTATATTATTTAATGTTAAACATTTTTTATTATGTACTTCTTATTGCAAAAAATATAGAAAATTTAGAGGAATTTTTGCAAGGAATAGAAGGTATAAATATATACACCTAATTTTTTATAAATTTTCGCTTTGATAATCTAAAGCAATTTGTTACTTATTAAAAATAGTAATATATAATAGGTTTTAGAATATGGAGTATGCTTTGCATATTTGTGAAATTGATTATTTTATAAAAGATTAGAAATTTAAATTTGTTATTTATTCAAGGAGAGCCTAATCTTGTCCATTTTCCTCAAGGTATTCTATTTATCATTTTTTACCATAACATCCTTTATATTTACGTAATATAATTTTACCATTCCCTATTTATATATGCAGAGTTAAATCCTGCTGCCATTGAAGGTTTTAACATATAATATTTTAATTAAGATTTTATTTTATTTACCATAATTTATATTTGCTTAATATAATTTTAGATTTTTTGCAGCTTATTCAAGATATCGGGGTCAATGATGCAGCAGGTTTACGGGCGATGTATTTCCTTTCATGAACATATTTCAAATCTCGTTTAAGATATGTTCTATTATTCTATATTTTGATTATACAGTGAAAAATATGTAATATATTAATTAAAAACAAAAAAATTTTGACAAAGCATATTTATTAATCGATTAAAGAATATAATTGAAAAATAAAAAGAGTAAAATAATGTTTAAAAATCAATTGTTTATTTATAAAATATATTTTAAGCAAAAATTAATTTTTAAAAAAATTTTCAATTTTATTAACTTTTTAAAACTCCAACTATTTTTTGTAAAACACTTATGGGATTTGTTATGAATAAAAAATCTTTCAAGAAATTTTAAATATTAATATTTGTTAGGATTTATTTTCTTTAATTTAAATTCAATTTATTTCGATAAAAATATGTTTATATATTTCATTTTATAATAATTTCGATAAAATAAGAGATATAAAAAAAAATTATGTATAAAATCATATTATATAAAATCATTCCATATGTTATTTGAATTCGAAGATCGACTCTCCGAGATAACACAACCCAGATATTGTTGCATATGATTGTAAAAGTTCTTGAAATCATATGGATGGAATCCTAAATGTGTTAAATAATATTGGTAATAATTTCATCTTGTGAATCGGTAGAGGTGTGATTGCTCGAAATTTATGTTTGAATACACCAAAAAATAGGATTAATTTGGAGTTAATATGGAGGTAGGTATTCAGTCCTATCTTTGTATATATCGATTAAATTAGATTTATGAATTGATTTGTTATCCATTACTATAATTGCATCAGATGACAAAATATCAATAAGCTCTCGCATGGAATCTCAGAATAATGCACCATTATAAGCTCCTTCTTAAATTTTATAATGAATTCCTTCTCTGATTCCAAAAGAATACTAACAACATTTTTATTTTTCGAGGATGGGATCTTTATACTCGGGAGATCCTATGCGTATTTCATCTGTCAGAATCTTTCCAGATCTTTTTTCGTCCACTTAATATTTTTTATAAATTCTTATTGTTTCCCTTTTTTTAGGACTATCAAGTGGTAAATTTTTGAATAATGTCTTTTATCGTAAAAGTATTTGCCATTAATAAGTCTGATATTTCTTTCAATGATAGATGAATTTTTTTCCTTATTTCCTTTATTTTGAATAGTGCATTTACCGTAAATGTATATCGTCTTTTTATGAACTGACGCTGTAAACATTTCAATATATTTAGCCATATCTTTAACTTTCATTTGTTGATTTTCCGGTAAAGAAAATATTTTACTAACTATGTTGATTTTTTCCTTATTCCAATATTAATATATTTTTCTGGGTCTTGAAATAGTAGATCAGGTTTGGTAGTTTGTATTTAAGTTAGAATTGATGATAATAAATTATTTATAGTACATTATATGTAAATTCAAAGAAATTTTTTAGAAATAATTGTTTTTACGTATTTGATAAATAAACAATTAATTATTGTTTAAACATTATTTACCCCTTCTATTTTTCATTATATTCTTTTTCAAATATTAAGCTTTGTTTAAAATTTTTGTTTTTAATATATTACATATTTTTCTCTAAAATATAGATTTGATATTTTTAAAACTGTAATTTTCATAGGATCCCATTAATTTTATTGTATCTAAGGTAAAGAATATCCTTCGTGATATCCAGATCCAATTTCACAAATCAATTTTAAGACAATTTACAGAATATAGCAATTTATTATTTTAATCGAAAGCTTTGATACTTTTTGAAAAAAAATTTATTAAGATAAACGAACGAAATTTATTTATCTAGAACTAGTTTTATAATATAGTCAAACTGTCTAATTTGGGCCTCGTTGTGACCAAGAAGTTCAACTATTATCAAATTATTTTTTTACTTCTAATTCATCATAATCTTGAGTAAAATTAATGTAATGTTAACATAAATGTCTTATTTTTTCAACTTTAAATCAATTTTTAAGCGCGTTTTTATATCTTAAGAATCAGATTTTACCGAAAATGTATTCCAGATGTTAAAAGTAGGAGAGAGGTGGTATGACCCATCATTATTTTATTTTTTCAAGAAGAGAAATTGGGTTTAATTGAACAAAATTAATATCAATAATCCTTAAATATTTATAATAAAATTTAAATAATTCTATCCATATTAATTTTTAGCGGTTTTTCTGGTTAGTTAAATGGTTTGTTTTAACTTGCTACATACTATGTATAACCACAGGCTATGTGTTATAACTGACCATAATATATTATTTAAAAATTTTATTATAAAATTATTAGAATATAAAATATTTGTAAAATAATCTATGTTATCTTCATTTTTTAAGTTTTTATCATTAAACACTAACTTTATTAATATTAACATATATACTTATCATCAGACTCATCCAATTAATATAATTTTATAAAATATTTATTTCTATGTTAAACATGTTTATTTATTCATATATATACTGATTTTATAATTATTACCTTAATTATCTACAAAATTAAAATGTTTATTTCAATAATTTATTCATTCATCAATTTATAAATTTGCGATGTTTAATAACATAGACTTAAATTATTATATGTATATTATGAATACACAATAACAATGAAAAACATTTTATTAATTTTATAAATAAGAAAGATATAATATATTTTTTTACATAAATAAGCAACTAAATATTTATTTATATTCAGCACAAGCCCATTCTTCATAATGCATGCATTTAATTCACTCTTACCTTTCCTTCCTTTTAAATATTCTTTTCTGATATATTGCACAGCCCCTCATTTTTCTTTTCTTTAGATTTAGGAAACTTTAACTCATATTTTCTTTTTAACAAATATTCTTATCTAAAAATAAATAATTTTTAGCATGAAATAAATAATCTTTATATTAATTTATATAATTAAATCTATTCTAACAAACAGGTATTTATAATATATAATTAAAATCATTTAAAAACATATTTATATAATTAATAATCTATATAACTAATTATCTAAGAATAATTCAATATATTAATTTAATATTATTTAAAAATACTTTAACATATGTTATTTTATACTAAACCCTGTTTATGATATGACTTGTATTATATATAATCATATAAATTATCCTCCTGGGTTCATATGAGAATATTACAAAGTCTCTATGTTTTTGCTTTGCACTTTTTAAAGTTTTTCTAGGAACATTAAATTTAATTAATACTGAAGGTGTGATATTTTTATTAATGATTTATATCATCAATTGCCAATGTAATTTATCATTTGCATTTTCATAAAATGATATTTTACGCAATTTTTCATTTCATAATAAATATATGAATATTGGCCAGTCAATACATCTTCATTATCATTAATTAAATTAAAATTGCTAGCTCTTATTTTTTTGGAATAATAAATGCCTAAAGGATAATATTTATCCAAAATATTAGTAAACTAAATGAGTAATTATTTAATCAAACAAAAAAAGTGATGAATTTCAGATAATTTTGCTATTAACTTTTAAGTTATTATAATTTCTGCAAAAACTCTAAGGACCAACGAATTATATTATATTAAGTTCAATTTTTTATAATAAAATTATCTGATATTTATAAGGTAGGTACTCTAAACATCCTGGAATACATTTCCTATAAAATCACATTTTTTAAAATTAAAAACTATGCTTAAAATGGATTTAAAGTTAAAAAATAACACATTGACCTAATATATACCTAAACTTATACAAACAATTTATGAAATAGATGTATTTGTTTGCTTATTGGTTTTATTTATGGCGTATGAATATTGTGAACAGTTTCTTTTGAAATATTAGTCTTTTAACACATTATATTTTAGGTTATGATTTATAAATTTATTTACTACAATATTTTTAATTATGGCTAACTTTTTATATGAATTTTGTTATTTGAAAAAATAGTTTTAAAGAGATAAAAAAAATTTACAATAAAAATAAATTAGAGTTGTTTATTTTGGTGTCATTTGGTGAGGATGACAGATGACATTTAAAAATTCAGAATGATGAAATAGAAATTGTACTATCTCTTCTATAACTATTACAAAACAAAGGGCCTAAATGTAAAAATACCTTGGTCAAGTTTCGAAAAATATTTTTGACTTCACAAGAGAAGGTTGGTAGTACAGGAAATATTAGTCTTAAATGTCGTCTCCCATGCCTTCTATGTCATCATCGAATTCCTACACAGCCAATCTATCGTAACATATCTCTAAGTTTAAAGTCACATAACTTGTCTTAAATAATTGTAGTAAGTTTTAGTTAGATGTATATGTAACATGATTATTTGAATTAATATTATATTGGAACCCAATTTTGTTTGCTCAACAGCTCCTTCTTCTGGTTTAATTTATTCTGATTTAAAATATGTTGTTCTTATATTAATTTTTTAAATGGTTTGTTTATTATAGGTAAATTTATTTATGGAGAGAAATGAGCAGTTCTTTTAAAAAATTAATAAACTAATAATTATGCCATTTAGGCAGATTTGACTGAATATAAAGTAGAATTCTTTATAAAAAATTTTGTTGACCTCAAAAAAGAAATTTAAAATGTTAAATAGCTTAATGACCAGTCCTAGAAATATTAAAGATGTTTTTGTTTTATTTTTTCAGGACTAAAATTTAGTGCAATTATATACTCAAATTTTTACATTCAAAATATAAAATTTTAAATACTGTGTTTTTTTATAGTCCAATACGGTAATTTGTTACAATTTTATAGAATTTTAAAATAAAATAAAAAACTTTACTTCAAGCGGCATATCTGATTGATCCCGTAGGAACAGGTTCCATAATCTATAAAATTATATATATAGCCATACAATATTCATCACGACTTTTCATTATCTAAAAATTTATATAATTTGGATTTATCACAAGATTCGTCAAATTAATGGATATTTTCTAATTAATTTCACAGAGGTATAGAAAGAGTTACATCATGTTATAACAAGTTTAATCAGATATCCAATTTTTCATTAAAAATGATTTGAGTTGGGATAATTTACACTTACAAAGTGTAAACTTTATACTACTTTTCTTTATTAATGTAAAAAATGTTTCAAATTGGAACCAGGGTGAGCTTTACTAATCTTCATCTGAAGAATTTGTAGAATTGACATAATATTTTTTATAAAATAAATTAAAATATTAATAAGAATCAAAATTTACATTTCTTGATTAATTTACTATTAATTAGATTAACAAACTTGACTAACAAAGAAAATTTAAAATTAAAATAAAGGAATTTGGAGTTTGTTGTGAATTAAAAACTCGGCTTAAATTATATGTTAAAAATTAAATAAACATATATATAATACAATAAAATATGCTCTTTTCCATATTTTTTAAGAAAAAGGCGTTATGCGCTACTCAAAAAAAGAAACGCGTTACCGTGCATCGTTACTATTAGAGAATAACGAAGGCATTCCTTTTCTTAAAAAAATATAAGGCCTTTTTTTTGTCGTTAATTTACAGCAATAGTATAAAATATTCTTAAATTTATTATAAATTTTTCAAAAGAATTAGGGAAGGCTTTTACTTATTTTTATTTCAAAATTTTTGTTGCATAATATTAACAATATTTTTCTTTGTATATCAAAACAGACGGAGTTGAAAGTAAATCTATATAAAATATATTTTGAGCTTTTCAAATTTATATTGACTCGGTTTAACATTTCACATTTTAAGGTTTAAAATTTCTGGTATCATAAAATTCAAAATTAAAATAATGTTATTTAAAAATCCCTTTAAAAAATTAATCAATCAAATTTCCTGATTTCACAGTTTTTTAATTTTTCAATATTATAACAATAGATTTTGTACATTGTTAATTAAAAGATATATGGAGTAATCAAAAACTCACCTACGTTTATGAAACAGGCTTAATATTTATTAATGAATGCAATAAATGTCAAACTTATTATGAGTGTATGACATCATAGCATCCTTTATAATATTAACAAAATTTCGCCGACAAAACAGTTGATTACTACATTATCTACAAAATTTGAATAAAAAAATAATTAAAATAAATAATAATCTAAACAAGAACTTATTTGAAAAAGAGAATATTAAATTTACCACTTTATTTCTAACTTAGTAAGAAGGGTTTAGCAATTTCCATTTATTCTTGAAAGCTAGATGAAAATTTAATTTGTTAGCCCGAACTCCTTATATTTACATCCGAGCTCATCTCGATAAATGTATAATTAAAAAGCTATATAAAATAATAATCAAATAACTTTATTATCCTTTTATTTTAATTTAAAAAAAATAGAAAACATTATTTTCTAAATTGAAATTTTTTAAGCCATACCATCCCTTATATATAAGTTGCGAGCTTCAGACCCACTTGCAGGATTCTAATCAATATTTTTAACAATGTGTTAATTTTATTGATGCTCAAAAAAATTTCTTTTTCAAAAATAATTTTATATTTTATTTTATTTTACTTATTTATATTATTATTAAAAAGTGGCCCAAGAAATTATTTCAAGTAAAAATATATGTTTTATAAAGACTCCAATTTATTCGCCGAGAAATTTTTTTTATAAACGGTCTGAATTTTCAGCAAACGTATTGAATGCTTGGATAAAAACTAAATTGCCTGTATTCGATTTCTTCAGGTACACCATAAACAAAAATTACTAGTTAATAGGCTTATTTTTATAAAACAAAATCTTTATAAATGTTCTCCCGGCATAATAACCCTAGGCTGTAACACAGTAACACTATCTCATTGTGTTTTATGCGACAAAATAA